TACTTCTTACATGTTGAACCCAAATACCTGTACTTTCTACTTCTTACATGTTGAACACAAATACCTGTACTTTCTACTTCTTACATGTTGAACTCAAATACCTGTACTTTCTACTTCTTACATGTTGAACCCAAATACCTGTACTTTCTACTTCTCACATGTTGAACTCAAATACCTGTACTTTCTACTTCTTACATGTTGAACTCAAATACCTGTACTTTCTACTTCTTACATGTTGAACCCAAATACCTGTACTTTCTACTTCTTACATGTTGAACTCAAATACCTGTACTTTCTACTTCTTACATGTTGAACTCAAATACCTGTACTTTCTACTTCTTACATGTTGAACACAAATACCTGTACTTTCTACTTCTTACATGTTGAACTCAAATACCTGTACTTTCTACTTCTAACATGTTGAACCCAAATACCTGTACTTTCTACTTCTTACGTGTTGAACCCAAATACCTGTACTTTCTACTTCTTACATGTTGAACACAAATACCTGTACTTTCTACTTCTTACATGTTTAACTCAAATACCTGTACTTTCTACTTCTTACATGTTGAACACAAATACCTGTACTTTCTACTTCTTACATGTTGAACACAAATACCTGTACTTTCTACTTCTTACATGTTGAACACAAATACCTGTACTTTCTACTTCTTACATGTTGAACTCAAATACCTGTACTTTCTACTTCTTACATGTTGAACTCAAATACCTGTACTTTCTACTTCTTACGTGTTGAACCCAAATACCTGTACTTTCTACTTCTTACATGTTGAACTCAAATACCTGTACTTTCTACTTCTTACATGTTGAACTCAAATACCTGTACTTTCTACTTCTTACATGTTGAACCCAAATACCTGTACTTTCTACTTCTTACATGTTGAACTCAAATACCTGTACTTTCTACTTCTTACATGTTGAACCCAAATACCTGTACTTTCTACTTCTTACATGTTGAACACAAATACCTGTACTTTCTACTTCTTACATGTTGAACTCAAATACCTGTACTTTCTACTTCTTACATGTTGAACCCAAATACCTGTACTTTCTACTTCTTACATGTTGAACTCAAATACCTGTACTTTCTACTTCTTACATGTTGAACTCAAATACCTGTACTTTCTACTTCTTACATGTTGAACCCAAATACCTGTACTTTCTACTTCTTACATGTTGAACCCAAATACCTGTACTTTCTACTTCTCACATGTTGAACTCAAATACCTGTACTTTCTACTTCTTACAGTTTGAACCCAAATACCTGTACTTTCTACTTCTTACATGTTGAACTCAAATACCTGAACTTTCTACTTCTTACATGTTGAACTCAAATACCTGTACTTTCTACTTCTTACATGTTGAACCCAAATACCTGTACTTTCTACTTCTCACATGTTGAACTCAAATACCTGAACTTTCTACTTCTTACATGTTGAACCCAAATACCTGTACTTTCTACTTCTTACATGTTGAACTCAAATACCTGTACTTTCTACTTCTCACATGTTGAACTCAAATACCTGAACTTTCTACTTCTTACATGTTGAACCCAAATACCTGTACTTTCTACTTCTGACATGTTGAACTCAAATACCTGTACTTTCTACTTCTTACATGTTGAACCCAAATACCTGTACTTTCTACTTCTTACATGTTGAACCCAAATACCTGTACTTTCTACTTCTGACATGTTGAACTCAAATACCTGTACTTTCTACTTCTCACATGTTGAACTCAAATACCTGTACTTTCTACTTCTTACATGTTGAACCCAAATACCTATACTTTCTACTTCTTACACGTTGAATACAAATACCTGTACTTTCTACTTCTTACATGTTGAACTCAAATACCTGTACTTTCTACTTCTTACATGTTGAACTCAAATACCTGTACTTTCTACTTCTCACATGTTGAACTCAAATACCTGTACTTTCTACTTCTTACATGTTGAACCCAAATACCTGTACTTTCTACTTCTTACATGTTGAACTCAAATACCTGTACTTTCTACTTCTTACATGTTGAACTCAAATACCTTTACTTTCTACTTCTTACATGTTGAACTCAAATACCTGTACTTTCTACTTCTTACATGTTGAACTCAAATACCTGTACTTTCTACTTCTTACATGTTGAACCCAAATACCTGTACTTTCTACTTCTTACATGTTGAACTCAAATACCTGTACTTTCTACTTCTTACATGTTGAACTCAAATACCTGTACTTTCTACTTCTCTCATTTTCCAAACAGCTGGTTCCTTTAGTCTGAATGTGTGTTTGATGCGTGATCATTATTCTTTAGAGTCATTGCGTGCCTATTGATTTGAACACGATCCGTGTATCCATCATTTCCTGGTCTTCTCTAAAGAAGAGGGACCAATGGAAACGTTGTCATGTTGCCGTTGTTCAGCATGGAAACATTCATTAGCTAACAATGACATTATTGTTCTATTAATATAAAGGGAGGTCAGGTACTCTTTAAAACAGCTGCTAGCTATGGGTACTTTTTACTGAAGTACATTTCAAAGTTCTTTACTTTTACTCGAGTAAAGAAGTTTAGTCAGTACTTCTACTTTTACCAGAGTATTTTTAAACACGAGTATCTGTACTTCTACTTGAGGAAAGGATGTGTGTACTTTGCCACCTCTGTACACTGTAGCTTATGTGCACAATGAAACCTTTGAAGTTGAATCTCTGAGTTGTACCTGGTTGTCCTGTAGGAAGATGGCGGGGCTGATGGTGTTCAGAAGGACTCCGTACGGACTCCAGCTGAACTTGTAACGGAGAGGATTGTCCGAACACTCGGGAGCAGGAAGACCTCCGCAGAACGAGCTGTACGACTCCACCTGAACAACAACATTTATTATCAGTTTAGTCTTTTGCCAGTCATCTATTGTCTCTAAAGTGTATCTTAAGGATGGATTGGGATGTGTCTTAGTGAGCGACCCTAACCGGAGACAAAGAAATACAATCCTTAAAAACAGGAGGGAAAAAAATCACATTAAAAAAACGTAAGACTTCCAAAATTAAGCAATATGAACAATGTGGTGTGTGTGTGTGTGTGTGTGTGTGTGTGTGTGTGTGTGTGTGTGTGTGTGTGTGTGTGTGTGTGTGTGTGTGTGTGTGTGTGTGTGTGGACTCACCGTGCAGCCGTCAGCTTTGGCCTTGTCGATACACTCCATGGCCAACATGTGATCGATGCCGGGGTCCAGACCCATCTCGTTCACGATGGTGATGCCCGCCTCCTCCGCACTGACACACACACACACACACACACACACACACACACACACACACACACACACACACACACACACACACACACACACACACACACACACACACACACACACACACACACACACACACACACACACACACACACACACACACACACACACACACACACACACACACACACACACACACACACACACACACACACACACACACACACACACACACACACACACACATTACATTTCAGCATCCACTGATTTAAGGGATTTTAATCCTTTTAAATTGTAACATGCCAGATAGACGACAAAACAATACATACAAATAGTTTCACTTAGAAAAATGCTTCTCCATTTCAATAAAACGTTCAGTTAATATTTGTTTGATTGAAAGATCTCCTAATTGATCAGGTGTTTTTGACAAATCACCTTAAATGATCTGGTCAAAGGTTCTCCGAGTACTTCCTGTTTCCTCACCTGCTCTGCAGCTCCTTCATGGCGGGGCTCAGGTAGCTCGCTGTCACCATGTTCACCTTCCTCCTGATGCAGTGTTTGGCTATCAGAGGGTGGAGAGAGTAGGGCAGCATGCTGAGGAGGAGGAGGAGGAGACATGTATTTGTGATCCTCTCTAGAATGGAAGTAGTCGTCACATACAGAGCATCAACTAGAACAGTGTCCTTCACATGCTGATATCCAAGAGAGGGAGTTACAGTCACAAGATGGAGGAATACCGGTTCTTGTAGGAAATCATACATCCTGCTGTCATCTACAAAATACTGAGTTTTTCTCTAAATCGAAAAAATCTGACCTTTTTTGAAAATGTTGACTTTTTCTCAAAAATGTGACTTTTTTTTCTCAAAATCCAAAAATTCTGACTTTTTAAAAAATCCTGACTTCTCTCAAATTCTCAAAAATGTTAATAATCACTGGTCCCCGGCATGAGCTTCAGTCTCAGGATCCATGTATCTGTGATCCTCTCCAGAATGGAAGGAGTCATCACATACAGAGCATCAACTAGTTCCTGAACAGTGTCCTTCACATGCTGATATCCAAGAGAGGGAGTTACACAGTCACAAGATGGAGGAGTAGAAAGCAGTATTCAATGTTTACTTCAGATTAGCTCCACGTCAGAAATGAGCATGCTTGATGTCTCTCTCCATAGAGGCTGAATCATCATGTTAATTACAATAGGCGCATTCACACCGCAGTACTTTTCCCACAAAGGTTCATGAGAACTTAGTTCATGAGAACTCTTTAGTTCTCATGAACTAAGTACAGATCGCGTTCACACCAGAATAAGTCCCTGGGGGAGGATTAGGCAAATGAAGCCGCTGAAGTCACTTCTTCTTCTTCTGCTTTGGGTTTACTGGCAGGCCGCAAACCACTTCACGACGTATACTGCTGCCCAAAGTCCCCGGCCGGAGGTCCCCGGAGTTGGGGAAGGCTTCAGTAGAAGCTGCTGGGACTCCCAGCAGCTTCTACTGAAGCCTTCCGAGTAAATCGCCAGAATGCCAACACCTCCTCATCTCCACCGCTCCCATGTTTTATTTTGTGTTGCCATAAGTTAGTCTCTCTGCATTTGTGCACGGGGCTAATGCTAATGCTAATGTGAGGATAATAAAATGGCGGCTTCACAAAACTTTTTGGGAGTTTTACGGGGCGTGGTTTGCAATCCGCCCAGCCAATCAGACATAGGAACCTTTTTCTCCCACGAAAGTCCCTGCTCTCTAGCAAAAGGGGGTAAAAAGGTTCTCATGAACTAATTTTAGTTCCGGCTCTTTTTGGTGTGAACGCGACATTTCGGAACTATATCGGAACTAAAGTGGGAAGAGTACCGCGGTGTGAACGCGCCTATAGCTATCATATGCCTCAAACAGTCCTGATGCTCTTCTAGGTAATCACACATCCTGTCATGTTCACAGCTACAGTTGGGACACCTTTGTTATCACGTTACTCTCATGTTGGAAGAGGACATTCAGTGTTTTCCCAGCACTAAGGGAGGAGATGAGTGAGTACCTGATGACCAGGTCGTGGTCCTTCACCAGAGAGTCCAGGTGTCCCTCCTGACTGCCTGCGTCCAGCATCACGGGGATGGTGTTGGGATATTTCTCCGCCAGCTCCTCCGCCTGCCGCAGCATCATCGACGCTGAGAGGTAAACCACAACAAAAACATTCAATGGAAGGTCTTATATTCTTTCTTATTGGACATTTTTCAGACATCTCCTTTCAGAAATGTTTGGGACATTTGTTTACATCGTCTTTTGAAAAAACTTTTCCACGTTTTTCACATAATTATCTGAATTTCTTTTAGCTATTTGATGGACCCTTTTTCAGACAATTTTAATTTTTAAGGATTTCTTTTAAAATGTTTCTGTTATTTCTAAGACTTATTTTTAGGGATTCTTTTTCAGCATTTTAATGTTTTTTTTAATGTTGTTTAAAGTGGACCTATCATGCTATTGGTAGGCAATAGCATAGGTCTCAGATATATAAAGACATATAAAAAGCATGTCTATGAAGTGCTTTGCTCAAAATACCAAAAAGATCCCCCATTCTAGCCATGCCTCATATCCCTCTATTTCACTTCCTGTTTCAAAAGTGCTGATTTGGGGAATAAAGCTTTAGAAATAAAGAGGAGGGGTCTGAGCTCATGCGGGACCCGGCAGCTACTGTCTAAACTAAATGCTGCCGTGATGAAACGCCATATCATGGATTATCAAGGATTCTCTCTGAAACAGTTTGGAGCTCAAAGGCTTTCTCTCTTGCCGGTTATACCACAAGGTGAGTTCCTTTTTACTTCCTGCTTCTTCACACACATGCTCTCCAGTACAGGTTAGCTCTGAGAGTTAGCGATGCTAATGTAAACACCGACCATATTACGTCCAAAACAGTCGGGCATTGTTTCTGATAGCAACGTTTCTGATTGGGCCGTGGGTCCACATTTCAGATGTTACGTCATATCGGACGCAAATCTGGATCAGCTCCGTTGTTCCCCGTTTTTAGAGATTTGGGTACGGAGGAAAAGAGAGAGGGTTTTATTTTCTGATGCTGCGTGAGTTCCCCGACACACCGGGGACACATGGTGATGTAGAGAAGACATCACAAAGTGCATTTTGCATGATAGGTCCCCTTTAAGGTTGTGATATGAATAATTTTTTGTACATTATTCACGTATTCTATCAGAAAATTTTCCATCATGGTTCGCATGATCCTTTGGATATTTTCCACATAATGACTTTTTAAATATAATTTCTTTCCATTTCGTTCAAATAATTTAAAGTAATTTTTCCACATAATTTCCACATGATTCTCAAACATCTTTAAAACTCGTTTCCAGGTATTTTTCACATATTTTTGGGATATTTAAAGAAAAAGAACAGCATTTTTCGACTCTTTAAGGTTGTGCTCATTCCAACTCCTTTACATACTATTGGCTAGTTTAATCTGCATCATATTCTATAACCTCATCACATGTGTGTAGCTTTGTCCTGTAAGCACCACGTATCTTTGACTTTGTGTTGTTTATGTTGATTTCCAGAGTCCGTCAGAAGAACTCACCCACAGTGACCTGAGTGGTCTTGTCTCGGGTCAGATACTCCACCACGGGTCCGGAGACGTACCCCGACCCGAGCAGCAGAACGCGTCTCATCCCTGTCTTCTTCATGATCTGAGCCTTCTCTCTGCAGGACGTCACACACACACACACACCGACTCAGAGACACATCATAACACACCCACTGATGCATCATTATGAGGTCACTGTGTATCCATTTAACAGAGTCAAAGTCAAGTTGTTGATTAATCAGACACTCAATAGAGCGGTGCAGTGACGAGTCCTAAAACCAGGAAGTGAGTCAGCATTTCTCCACTTCCTGTTCCCTCGTCTCAGAGCCAATGGGATCTCTCCATAGGATGTTGGAAAATATCTGGAAATAAGGTCTGTGGTTGAGACACATTTAAGAGACGGATCACGTTTTGTTCTAGGACATTAAATCCATCAGCAGTGACCCCACTGGTGATTTCTGAAGAGTTGACGTGTCTGAAAAACGATGGTTGTTACCAAGTGGCTGAATAGGACTACAGAAGTCGTGGAGGACGTTGTACGTCATTACGCCGAACACGTGAACACTCCTCTAAGTTAGTTTCTCTTCTGCTTGAAAGCAAGTCCCTGCCTCCTGCAGACTGTTCAAACAAACGCTTCAACTCGTTCCATTTAGAATCTGTGTGTTTGAATATGGATCTTAAGTTGGCGTGACGTTGAAGTCGTGCTGCTGGACTCGGCTGTAGTTCTGTTGTAGCATAACGTTAGCATTTTGCTTCTGGACAATAGACTTATGATTTCGAAAAATTATAAAAGTAGGGTAGACATGTGGAGATTATCCGGCTGAACAAAACGTGCATTTATCAAACAGGTTCCTTTTCCACAGACCTTAATTCCTATGGAGAAATCCCATTGCTTTTTTGTCGAGGGAACCGGTAGTTTACTTCCGGGTAAATACGTCATCCCTGCACCGCTCTATTTCAGCACCAGACACTTTTTTACGCTGCTATGGACAATCTTGCACTAATGTACATTCCCAAAGATATTGAAGTGACTGTTATTTTGTATATATTGATTGTTGTGTTTTTTTATCTTAACGTGTGCATATGTATAAATGTGTCTGTTGATTGTGTATATATAGGATATACATATTTTTACATATTTGTATTTGGGATTGTGGGAAACGGTATTTCGATCTCTCAGTCTGTACACACCAACTGAAAGATTGACAATAAAGTTGACTTTGAATTACCCACTCCTTCTTAGCTAGAATCACTGAAAGAAATGTCATTTTATGTGTAAAAGAAGAATCAATTTAGTCAGTTATACTCTATAATCTTAGGGCGTGTAGTGTGCCTGAAAATGATTTTGCAGAAGGGTCTTAAATAGTAAGCTTTGAGTGAAAACGCATGAGTTTGGTGAGGGTAATATTGGATAAATTGGACTTTCTGCATGAGTTCTCTCAGGGTTTGTTACCGGATGATTTGACGGAGAATTTTGTTTACCGTGGAGGCATGCGAGAGAAAAATAACCTTTTTATTTAACAGTAATTGATTTACAAAGTGTAATTAAGTGTGTGAAGTATTCCTTTAAACCCGAGACCAAAGTGTTTTCCACATTTGGACGAAAAATGAGGATGGAAACACCACAAAGAAAGCAATTAATGGAATGATATGTTAAACATTTGAACAGTGTTTGGCTTAGCAAAGTTAAAGATAATAATACAGTTAATTAAAAGAAACAGTATCAATGTGACTGATGAGGATGAAGCAGGAAGCACGAGAGGAAGAGGAGGAAAAACGGGATTGAAGGGGGGAGGAAATAAATAAATAAAATGATAAATCAAAAAGTAGAAACAGAAATGACCTAAAAACAGATGTGGTTGTTCGTGAATATATAATAAATATATATATATATATATACTAAACAAACTAACGACTTGACTCCAAATATTAATTGAAATTATTTTATAGACTTGAAAATTATCGTATTTCTTCCCCTAATCCAGTATTCAACTAAGACACCGTCCACACGGAGACGAAACGGGTTGTATCCGCTACAGTTCTCTATCGTATAGACGGTTCGTTCACACGAGGCCGTAACGGAAACGCAGATAACGATAACGGCTCCCAAGGTGGGTAGATCTGTGGACGAAACGCTTGCGGCTCAGTGTGTACGCCCTATACGATCATTTCCTGTTAACGATGACGCCATAGCCCCGCCTCTCACCACCTCTCCTGCTAACCCCCGCGTCATTGCTGATGTGTTTCGCCAACAACGGCGGATCACGGGGTTGCGTTCGTGCCCCAGACGCTACTGACCATGCTACAGATGTTAGTGCAAAATCTACAGCTCCTCTACCACAACCATCAGCAACAAGTGGATATGGAGAACAACATGAACTACATGTTGCTAAATCCACTGCGGAGAATAACCAGAAAGGCAACCAGGAAACCATGGCAACCATGCTCGGGAGGTCTTCTTCGCTGCTTTTGGTGTATTTTGTGGCGGAAGTACAGCGCCACTTACAGGCCCGGCATATGTACTACAGCGTCTCCAGCGGGTCGAGCGGTCTCGTGTGGACGGGCATGTTTCTTGAGCCGATTCCGTGTGGACGGAAGACTCTTTTGATATCGAATTCGGTTAGTTTTCGTTTTTGTTGTGTGGACGGGGCCTAAGTAACGTAATAATTATATTTCTATACATGTACATATATATCATAAAATAATGTTGTATATGTTCACGTATTTATTTTAATACTAAGTAATTAATACATGTATTTAAATTGCAGTCCTAAAATAAATAATAATAAAAAAGTAAGCCTTATAGTAATATGATAAAAAATATATATTATTCAATTAAATATTAAAAGTATTACATTACATTGCATTTAGCTGACGCTTTTATCCAAAGCGACTTACAATAAGTACATTCGACCAGGAAGACACAACCTTGAAGAAAACAGAATCATATAAGTACATCAGGTGTCATAGAGCCAAAACATTTCAAGTGCTACTCAACTGGCTTTAGATAAGCCAGTCCTTTATCAGTATATAAGTGCTTTGTTAAAAGTTCTATCGCTCGAAGTGGAGTCGAAAGAGATAAGTTTTCAGTCTGCGCCGGAAGATGTGCAAGCTATCTGCTGTCCTGATGTCAATGGGGAGCTCATTCCACCATCTTGGAGCCAGGATAGCAAACCCACGTGTTTTTGCCGATGGGAACTTGGGTCCCCCTCGCAGCGAGGGCGCAGCGAGTCGTTTCGCTGATGCAGAGCGTAGTGCACGCGCTGGGGTGTACGGTTTAACCATGTCCTGGATGTACGAAGGGCCAGATCTATTCGCAGCATGGTAAGCAAGTACCAGTGTCTTGAAGTGGATTCTAGCAGTTACCGGAAGCCAGTGAAGGGAGCGGAGGAGCGGAGTGGTGTGGGAGAATGTAGGAAGGTTGAAGACCAGACGAGCCGCTGCATTCTGGATGAGCTGCAGAGGTCGGATGGCACATGCAGGTAGACCAGCCAGGAGGGAGTTGCAGTAGTCTAGGCGTGAGATGACGAGAGCCTGGACCAGAACCTGCGTCGCTTTCTGTGTCAGCTGGGGACGTATCTTCCTGATGTTGTAAAGCGTGTATCTGCAGCAGCGGATTGTAGCAGCAATGTTTGCAGTGAAGGACAGTTTGTTATCTAGGGTCACACCCAGATTCCTTGCAGTCTGAGTCGGGGAAACAACAGAGGTGCCGATGTTGATTGTTAGGTCAAGAGTGGGACAATCTTTTCCCGGAAGGAAGAGCAGCTCAGTCTTGTCAAGGTTGAGCTTGAGGTGATGAGCAGACATCCACTGAGAGATGTCAGCTAGACAAGCAGAGATGCGTGCGACGACCTGGGTCTCTGAGCGGGGAAAGGACAGAATTAATTGGGTGTCGTCAGCGTAGCAGTGGTATGAAAAACCATGCGGGCTAATGACTGATCCGAGCGAGTTTGTGTACAGGGAGAAGAGGAGGGGACCAAGAACAGAGCCCTGAGGGACCCCTGTAGTTAATTGACAAGGGTCGGACTCAGACCCTCTCCAAGTTAGGGTACGGTCTTTCAGGTATGAGGTGAGGAGGGAAAGTGCAGAGCCTGAAACTCCAAGTTTTTGGAGAGTGCGAAGGAGGATCTGATGATTCACCGTGTTGAATGCAGCAGACAGGTCCAACAGGATGATGACAGAGGAGAGGGATGCAGTTTTGGCAGTGTGCAGTTCCTCCGTGACAGCAATGAGAGCAGTTTCTGTGGAGTGACCTGCCTTGAAACCAGACTGGTGCGGATCCAGAAGGTTGTTCTCATGGTGATAACAGGAGAGTTGTTTAAAGACAGCGCGTTCAAGTGATTTAGACAGGAACGGGAGGAGAGAGACAGGCCTGTAGTTTATAACATCAGACGGGTTGAGAGTAGGTTTCTTTAGGAGAGGGTTTACTCTTGCCTCCTTGAGACTGTTTGGAAAGTGACCAGAAGTTAGAGAAGTGTTGATGAAATGGGTGAGAAACGGTAGAATATCAGGAGCGATAGTCTGAAGGAGGTTTGAAGGGATGGGGTCCAGAGGACAGGTGGTAGGGCGGGCAGAGGTAATGAGGGTAAGAACCTCACTTGGAGAGAGAGGGGAAAAGGAGGTTAGTGTGTTGGTGGAAGGAGGGTCTGGTGACCCAGCGGTGAGTAAAGGTGAGTCAGAAAAAGAAGAGCGAATATCATCAACCTTTTTTTCAAAGTGGGTAACAAAGTCGCTTGGCAGAAGTGAGGAGGGGGGAGGGGCTTTTGGAGGGTCCAAGAGGGTGGAGAAGATGGAGAATAGTTTTTTGGGATTGGAATAGGAAGATTGGATCTTATCTTGAAAGAAAGTTCTTTTTGCCTGAGAGATCGAAGCAGAGAAAGAGGAGAGGAGAGCCTGATAGGTTAGGAGGTCGTCACGGTGTTTGGATTTCCACCGTTTCCGCTCTGCTGCCCTAAGGACGGTTCTATTAGCACGCAGTGCATCATTTAGCCAGGGAGCAGGAGGGGACTGACGAGCCTGCCGAGATGTGAGAGGACAGAGAGAGTCCAGAGTGGATGAGAGAGTAGAGAGGAGAGATTCTGCAGCAGAGTTTGAAGGCAGGAGTTGGAACGAGTCA